TCTCCATTTTGGCAAGTAAATCCTGTAAAACCAATGTTAAGCTGCAGGGGCGCGCCGACACAAGATGGTTATTCTGCCGAGATTAATTTAGTCGGTCTGTCTGTCTGGTCTGGTCTGTCTGTCCCCGCCTGCTGTGTGTGTCGTGTGTGTGTGTGTGGTGTGTGTGTGTGTGTGTGCTGGGTAGGTGTGCTGTGTGTATGTGGGTGTCGTGCGCGTGCTGCCGTGCCGGCGCCCGCCGTGTGTGTGTGTTGTCGCAGGCTGTCTGGCTGCTCTGTCTGTATGTAATGTTTGCGTTTTGGCTTTGCTGTACTGCCAGAACTATTCACAGCCCGTTCATAATGCGACAATCAGCAAGTGCATGTATAAAGTAGATCATGATGAAGCCGATGTGATTGGCATTGACATGATCAACATCGATATTTGCGAGGGTTTCGTTAGCAGATTAAGGTAAACGCCATGCATACCTAATTCTTTCTGTACGTCTTCCATTCCGAATCCATTTTGGCCAAAACTATCAGCTAAAATGCAGCTTATCTGAAAATTAAAGAGAAATATGTTTAATGTATTTTACTGTTCGGCCAAAGAAAATGAAACTCTGTCGGTAATGACAAACTATTATACTGTCCCACGTGTAAGTAGATACAACGTATAATGCGAATAAGTCAAGAACATTCGCCTCTAGAAACGCGGAAAAATAACAATTAGAACTTATTGGACAACGACAACAATAACAATGAAAATAAAAACATTGAAACATTAAAAGTAGATATCGCATCGACGACCATAGCTGCGATAAAGATTAGCAGCTATAATTAATTATATTTATAATTATATTATTATAATGATTAATAATTACGCAGATGTATAAAAGACGATTGTAGATATTGGTGACGCGGGTGACTTTAACATACATATACATATACATCAAGAGCTAATAATACCTAGAGTGTACAACGGAAAAACGGGAAAAATAGTGCTTTCAACGGCACATGATTATTCTACTTTGCCTGCGGAGTCTAAAAGAATTCTTATGCCGTATTGCATTAAGCAGGAATTCTTTGCTCTCTAAAACAAGGACAACGCTTGCTCAATCGCAGACTCCGTCACAGCTGAGATAGGTGGCTTCCTAAACCTCCCCGCCCACATGCTCACACGCCTGGCATCCAGCTTATTCAGCACCTAAGCGCCTCTAAGGTGCGTCGCCGGAGAGTTCGCGTTGTTCCGCCCATAATTTTATGATATGATTTTCGGGTGCAGCGTGCAGGTGTGGCTGGAAGTGACTTCGGGAGGCACTCGCCTATGCCCTTATCTCCTATTATTCTTTCCTAGCCACGCGCTAATGCCCGTCATGATTGGAGCGCCCAATGTTTTTTTAATTAAAAGGCTCTACAACGGCAGCTAGTAAAGATACCAAATTTGGGCATTTGACATCAATTATCAGCGCTCCAAGCGGCGACGCCCGCAAAACGACTAGCCAAAATGCTTAGGGCAGGCGTTATAGTTGCCTGAATAAGCTGGATGCGAGGGCCGTGTTGAGGCATGGGCGAGGGGAGGTTTAGGAGCCAATATTCTCAGCCTACGGAGTATCGTATTTGACAAGCGGTTGGTCTTGCTTTTAGAGATCGCAAAGACTTCTGCGTAATACAATACCAATAAAATTATTCTAGACTTGCAGGCCCAAAGCTAGAATAATGTTGTCGCTAAATATAGCACTATTTCCGTTTTTCCCGTTGGCACACTCTACGGCTAGTATTAGCTCTTGATATACAGAAGAGTATACACATACACATACACATTGCACATACACATACACATACACATACACAATACACATACACATACACAATTGCCACATACACATACACCTACACCATACACATACACATACACATACAATACACGATTACACATACACATACACATACACATACACCATACACATACACATACACATACACATACACATACACATACAATAAACACATACACATACACATTACAGCCATCACAGACACATACACAATACAACTACACATACACATACACATACACATACACATACACATAACAACATACACATACACATACACAAAAGTCATACACATATACATACACATACACATACACAGACACATACACATACACAACACATACACATCACATACAATACACATACACATACACATACACATACACATACACACCATACATATATAGTACAGTATCACATATACATATACATACATATACATATACATAACATAATACTATCATAATACATATACATATAGCATATACAATCATATACATATACATATACATATACATATACAAAAATAGTACATTATACATAGATGCATATACATATACATATAGCATATACAATAATATACAATATACATATACATATACATTATACATATACATATACATATACATATACATATAACATATACATATAATATACATATACAGTATACATATACATATACATATACAT